ACACACACACACACACACACACACACACACACACGGGAAAAAAGCTACCTGACAAAATCCAGCCAAGTAAGACAAGATTTAAAATACAGAGCTCAAGCACCTAGGGAAAGAATCATTAGTAAACAATGAATCCACTTACATAGAAAACTAAGGCTAAATCCCCATCAGAAAACAGAAAGAAGTGTCTTGACTTCAATCATCTAAATTTATCTAAGGAAAATACAGTTTCTATTATTCTAGCGTGCTAACCAAGTTAGACAGACTTTCGCCAAATTCAGAGGGTTTATTTGGGGCTATCTAACTGAAACTATAGGCTGCACGGGATGCAGTCACCTCAAGAGACAGGAAGCTGTCCACCACAGCAGCTGCAGGCCACTGGCTGGCAATGGAAGGCCTGTACTCTTATTCGTCTCTTTGTACCATGTTCCAGGCTGAGTGCCAGCAGGGATTTATTTAATGGTTAATCATTTTTCAGAGAAACTCTAGGAAGGCCAACTAGCATAATATAACTTAAAAGAACTAAAAAATATGGGAGTGGAGAGAAGGGTATGTGGGAGTCATTCATAGGAAACAACAGTATATACTGTCTGAAAATGAAAAAATGCAAATCACAGGGCCACAACTCCAGACCTACTCAATGAATCTCTAGGGATGAGACTTGAGAAATTCTAATGAACAGCGCTTTTTGTTGGCTTGGGCAAGCAACTTAATCAAAACCTTACAAGAAAATAGCTAATGGAGGTATTAATGTCCTTTTAACTTGCTGAGTTCTTTCCAGTAAATTAAGCTGTTCTTAACCCAGATGGGACAGGAAGGAATTCTTTAAGGATGGAACTACATGCTATTGATCTTTATAGCCCCAGGGACCTAGCCTAGACCAGGTACATAAATTAGACCTTTATATTGTTGAATGTTGGTTTAAGAGTACACACTGAATCCAATAACTGCTGGAACTGGACGCCCAATTCTAACACAAGTGTTCAGTTCTAATTAACAAGGAAAATCTTTGGCTGTGTACTTCCTAAGGGTAGACTGATGCTTAGTTTTTTTCTACTTCAGCCTTATGTTATCCCAAAATCCTGTGCTTTAAATAAAACTCTTGGGCTACTGAGGCTGAAAACATTTTCAAGTGGGTAAATTCGTATTTCACTCTAGTTTGCAAATTTACTGTACCATAATCAAGCATGGCTATTTAAAAATGGATAGAAACCTTGTTTCATTCCACTGCTAATCAATTCTCATAGATTTTTACCATAATGGACAACTCTCAGGAACATAAAGAGAATCCCTTTCCAAAAGAGATTTGAAGGTCATAAATACAAAGAATGTATCTTAAAAAGTTTTAAGAAATCATGAAAAGGGAAAGGAGAAAATATGCTAATTATAAGGATTAATAGAATTTCTATGATTAAGCACCATAATTAACTCTGAGCTTCCTAGTAACCAGAGCAAAAAATGACATCTTGATTACATACCCCTTGCTAAAAAAAGAGATGGCATACTAACTTATCAAAGTAAAAGCTTTTCCTTGTAGAGAGCCCCTAACTTTTCAGTTGGTAGAGCTCTGCTTTTATCTGCTTTAAATATAGGGTATTTATAATTTATTTGAAGAAAATGTCCTGGGGCTTTAAAAAAGGGAAGGAAGGAAGGAAAGGAAGGAAAGAAGGAAATCTTAAAAGAGAAAACTGGCCTGGTCCAACTCTTTCACATTAAAATACAAGACAAATGGCCACCAAATTAACAACTCACCTCCAGTTACATGGGCCATCTAGCAGCTTCATGATCTTACCTAATCTTAACTTTTAACAACTTCTTTTTAATACAAAGAATAGCCCTGTGTCAGCTATGAGGGAGGGGGGAAAAAAGGCAGTAAACTAATAAAGGAAATCTAAGAGTTCACTTGTTATTCATTATTTTCCCTCTCTAAATAAAGCTTTATACATGTGGGGGATGATCCAGCAGGAAACTTCCAGCCTTCTGAACTGGAGACACAGGAGGACACAGGAGAATTGTAAGGTCACAGAAGTTAGCGCTGCAGCAGACGGACCTACTCAGCTATAAAGTCAGCCAAGCCGCAGAAACCAAATTTTCTCCAGCATGTAAGTCCAAATAACAGTGATCTGCAAAGTAAGGGGGTATGGCACTGGACAAGTTCTCACTGCAACAGAGATCTTTACTTCTCAATCAGCAAAATTTTAGAGGAAAATACCACAGAAGCTATCTATAAATATTAATGCACAGAAATCTGTCCTGAGCAGGAAGATGCATTCTGTATGTTTATAACATACATGCAAACTCTAAGTTCACTACCTTACTGAAAAATTCCACTCGGGCTTCCATTTTATCCTAATTTCAAAGCTGGATGTGGCTCTCAGCACACTTGTTGACCACAAAAATGGAGCGATGCAATTAAGAAAAACTTACAAAAGAAAAAAAATGTATACGTAGATGCGTGTGTGTAATTTCAGATTTTGGAGTGAAACTACAGAGACCTACTATTTGCCAAGAAAGTCAAATTCAAGATACAATTTCAAAATTCCCATCTCCTTTGTAAGTTAAAAAGAACTACAAAAACCTTTTAATAATGCTGCTTCTTATTTTAAAGAGAGAAAATTTGTTTTTAAACCCTTTTTCTCATAGTTCAGAATACAGTATTTCCAAAGGAATCTACTGGAATTTACAGAGTCAGCGACAGTAAAAATAGTCAATAGTGTAAAAATATATATATATATTGTTCTGGGGTGCCTGGGTGGCTCAGTTGGTCTGTCTTCAACTCAGGTCATGATCCCAGGGTCCAGAACTGAGCCCCATATAGCAGGGAGCCTGCTTCTCCCTCTCCCTCTGCAGCTCCCCCTGCTTGTGCTCTCTCTATCTCTCTCAAATAAATAAAATCTTTAAAAAATACATATTTTTTCTTCTAAAAGTAGTTATTTTCCATTTAAAAGCAGCTAGCACATTTATTCAATAATTTCAGACTAAAAAGGAAATCTCTGAGTTAATCAACAATTTAACTATTAAAAATAATCAATAAGTTAATGCATACCTGTAAAATCTAAATTTTAAAGTGATACCAGGAGTTATTTACGTGCCTGCACAATACTTTGCCTGTAAAGTTCACTGTTAACCTCTCTCTCCAATAAATTAACCTCTTTATATGCAGATACATAGCTTTACATAATGACATTTCTATAAAAAGCAAAATAACGTTCAAATGGTAAGCACTTCACACCAGCAAACAAGGAAACTTTCGAACATTAATTTTCAAATAGTAATTTTCAAACACCAATTTTCAAATGATAAACACTCTGACCACACCAACAAAGGAGGAAGAGCTAAGAGACAAGACCAACGCTTCTAGGTGGCCCGGGAGAAAAAAACACCCACACTATGAATGAAGTGCCCCATCCAAATCCCCCTGCCAGATGTCAGGATCCCAAGTTAGAATCTTTCCAGGAATTTACAAACTTGCTACTGGACATAAGAAATAGATTAACTCTTGGGCACCTGGGTGGCTCAGTCGTTAAGTATCTGCCTTCAGCTCAGGTCATAATCCCAGGGTCGAGCCCCACATCAGGCTCCCTGCTCTGCAAGGAGTCTGCTTCTCCCTCTCCTTCTGCCCCTCCCCACTGCTTGTTTTCTCTCTCACTCTATCTTTCAGGCACATACGCACACAAATAAATAAAATCTTTAAAAAAAAAAGAAATAGATATCTATTCATTCTTCTACAACCCTCTACATGTTTCATGTCTCATAAAGAGTGTCCCTTTACCTAATGGTGACAGATATTTAATTGCCAAGCAATCTGTTACACTTTTCTTTACTGATTTACTTCCCTAAAATTAGTGTTTGCTGCAATTACCATCACAGGAAGCCAAAGGATAACTTAACAAAATTCACCTTCGTTATTGACTTTGTTCTCAAGCCTCCGTTCTCCACGAGGCTGAGGTCCAACTTGCCGTCATCCTTGCTTCCTATAGCTCTCAGTCCTTGCAAAAGAGTGTCTCGCAAGTTCTGATAAAGAGGTTTCTCGGCATAGTCCAGTAATTTCACTGTTTCCATGTATTTAGCAATCTCATCTAAAAGAGTAACACAATTATTCTATAATTTTTTAATCACAAATACAACATATTTATGTCTTCTAAGAAAATAACTCACGGTTATAGCAACATCAGAATGCAAATGTGTATCCTGCTAGAATATGTTTTTTTATATAAATCACTTTTTCAATGGAAAAGTACACTTTTGAAGTCAGGAATTGTCAGGTAAGTGAAATAAGAAACTTATTTTGAGATATAATGTAAAAGACATTTTTGTAATTGTAAGGGACAAAAAGATAAGAAACATACTAGAATTTAAAAATGCACGAAATAACTGCTGTACTTTTAAGGCTACAAAAACAAAACAGGAAAGGACCTCGAATAGATTATAAAGTAAAAAGTACTAAAGTACAAGGACTATCACAGCCCATATTTTTTTCCCCACGAAAGCCATTAGTTCTATAGAAAATAGCTGCATTCTTTGTATAAATGGAAAATAAAACATACCAAAACCAGGTTGAAGAAGGAAGAAAGAAGCAAGACCTAGTTTTCCCATAAAAGAGAAAAATCAGCTTCTGAATGATGAAAGGCCCACTGTACACTGAGGCAGGACCACTCCCCTAAAAAGAAATCTTACCAGTCAAGATCAATACTCCTCAACACCAGAAATCCATCTTTAGGCTAACGACTCCTACGTTCCCCAACCTTACCCTCCCACCAGCCTCCAGGAACTTGTGCGCCCACAGCCTCATACACTGGCTCCTGGATCTCTTACTGTCCTCTGGAATCCCAACAAATCCCAATCCAAACTCCTAACCTACCCCTAAACCTGCTCCCCTGTGGTCTCCCTTGCCCCGTTACTAAGAACTCCATTCTTCCAGCTCCTCAAACCAGAAATCTCTTCCCACACCCCACATGCAATAAACCAAGAGAACTTGTCAGTGCTACACACACACACATATACACACCTCCATTCATTCCAACACTGACCAGCACTCACTACACGGCAGGCACAATTCTACGTACTTGGGAAACATGAGGAAAAAAGAAATGAAAATCCCTCCCTTCAACTTTCTTAATCTGATAAAGGGGATCTATGGAAAACCTAAAGCAAACATCAACTAACATAGTTTCATATAGAAAACTTCCCTTCTGAGAGGGGAAAATGTCAAGCATGTCCATGTTTACCACTTCTGTTCAGTGTAATAATTATATATGCTTTCAGTCAGTACAGTAAGGCAAGAAAAAAAACAGAAGGCATGAACAGTGGAAGGGCTTATTCACAAACACAGCAGTGTATGCAGAAAATCCTAAGGAATCTATAAAAAACTAGGAGGACTAATAGATAAATTTACCAGGGTCACAGGATATAAGGCAAAATATTAAAAAATCATTTTCTATGTACTATCAACAAGCAATTCGAAAATAAAATTTAACAAAAATAGATCCCTGGGGCACCTGAGTGGCTCAGTCAGTTAAGCCTCCGACTCTTGGTTCAGCTGGGGTCATGATCTCAGAGTCACGAGATCTAGCCCCACAGCGGGCTCCACACTCAGCAGGGAGTCTGCTTCCCCTGTCCCTCTGCCCCACCTTCCACTCACACACAAGCGCTCTCTAAAATAAATAAAATCAAAATGTTAAAATAAAATAATAGCTCATTTACAATGGCATCAAAAAGCCATCAAATATCTAGCAACAAATACAATGAAGACAGGCAAGATTTTTTGCAGACAAAATTATAAAACATAGTGAAAGAAATGAAGTGGAGAATATACCATATTAGTGAATTGGAAGACTCAATAGTACAAGGATGTCAGTCGATCCAGAGTCAATGCAATCCCACTCAAAATTCCAGCAAACTGGAAAGGGAGGGGATATGTGTGGAACTGACAAGGTGGCTCTAAAATGTACACAGATACTCAAAGGGTCAAGAATTGCAAAACAGCAAAGTCAAGTTTAAAGAACAACAGTGCTGTAGGACTTATACCACCAGATGCCAAGACTCAAGATAAAGCTAGAGTCATTATGACACTGCTGCCCAAGAACAGACAAAAAGAAAACTAATGGTGTATTGTATGGTGACTAACATAATAAAATAAAATTTAAAAAACTAATAAAAGTAAAAAGAAAGGAGTATAGAAACAGATCCACAGATCCACACTTAATTTATGTCAAAGGTAGCACCATGTGGAAAGAGCGGGTTTTTTGTTTGTTTGTTTTCCCCCAAGAAAAGCTACTGGGTCAACTGTTTATAAATATTGGGGGAGGGGATCTGGCCCCTCCTCATATAAGGCACAATAATCAGTTACAGGTAGACTATACATCTATATGTATAACTGGCGATCTATGATTGCCAAAAATTTGAAATAGTCAATAGCAGAATAGATAAGTAATAGGATATAAATACAAGAGAATACTATTAGAAATGAGAATGAACACATCACTGTTAAACATGCAACAACGGGGTCCCATGAGGATCTAATGCACAGCATGGGGATTACAGTTAATAATTTGGTACTGCAGACTGGAAAGTGGCTGAGAGTAGATCTTGAGCATTCTCACCACACACACACACACAAACACAAAGTTAACTGTGAGGTAATAGAAGTGTTAGTTATCTTGATCTTGCTAATCATTCTACGATATAAATGTATGTTAAATCACCACATTGTACACTTGGAAATGTATACAATTATATTTGTCAATAAAGTTAAAAAATAAATAGAAACATTAAAAAAAAAAAACCCATGCAACAATGGGAATGAATTTCACTGAGTAAAAGAAACAGAATTCTAACAAAGCTAGAAATTAATGTTATGAGGGCAGGGATTTTTATCTATGTCGTTCACTCTATGATTCCATTTTTATACAGCTCAAAAACAAATTTTTGGGGTTGGAAATTAGGCTAGTTATTTATTAGGCCGGAGGGAGAGGCTCGTGATTGGTAGGAGGCACAAGGGGGGACTCTGAGAAGCCTGTAACATTCCATTTCTTGTGTGGTTGGTAAGACTGCAATTTTAAATAGCATAAGATCAGGGTGGACTTCCCTGAAAAGGAGACAAATGAGCAAAGGCTTGAAAAGACATCGAAATATATGCAAAGTGATCACTTCTCAATACTCCCACTGCTACTTCCCTTCCTTGCCTGGATTACTGTGATGGCCTCCTAACCCGCTCCTGCTCATACCTGCCTTACTCCCTCAGCAGTCTATACTCAGGACAGGAGCCTCAGATTTCCCTTAAAGGTAGACACTGATGTCACTTTTCTACTCCAAACCTTACACTCCTGCTGAAAGGAAAAGTCAAAGCCCTTATGACGGATGGCCTAAAACGCACTCCGCAAGTCCACCAGGTACTTACATTCTTTCTGCCTACAATACTGTTCCCCAGACTTCCATAACAGCTCGCTCCCTATCTCCAACTGCTCAAACGTCACCTCTTCAGTAAGGCCCTCCTGGCCACCGTATTTAAAATTCCAACTCCCTCCTACTCTATCCCCCACTTCATCCCCACACCCACTAATTCTATTCCCTGCTTTCTTTTTATCCCATAGTAATCATCACATAATATGCTCGAAAATTCACCCATGTGTTCACTGTCTATCTCTCCCAACTAGAGCATAAGCTTCATAAAGACAGGAATTTTGCTTTATTTTATTCACTGGTGCAACCCTAGTGCCTAGAATGGTCCCTGGCACACAATCAAGCCTCAATAAAAAAAAAAAAATCATTGAATTAATGAATGAAATTTGGTTCCTCTCCTGAAAGCTGAGTAATAATTTAAGGAAGCTCAAGTACCCCTTTAGCCCACCTTTGGAAACGGAACTGCTGTCGTGATGAGAACAGGCCCCACTACAATGATCACACTTGAAAACACCTAGGCTTTTACATTACGGGATATGCCATAGAAATCATGACTCTCTTTTTTCTCAAAAAATGAAACCCCTATGAACATTTAAGAAGTCTTTTCCAGGTTACCTGGCTTGTTTCTCTCAGGAAAACATTTGTCCATGAAATCTGCAATATTTTCTCTGTATCTGTTAAAAATTAAAGAATGAGTCATTGTTTGAAGCTTTACACCATGGAAATGTATTAACAACATTTCATAACAATAATAAATAGCATGATAAGTAGCGCTGTGTTATCCTACATACACTTACCGACTTTCTTCTAAAACAAACTGAAGACCGAAGACTCTTCCTATTTAGCAAGTACCTTCTTATTTCTACATTAGTAGCGTTAAAACTATAGTCTCCATCAAGAAATTCTGACTTAAATACATGTACCTTATCATGATTTTGCCCAAAATAATTTATTATAAGTTTTCCTTTACCTAATTTTGGAATCTCTAACATAGTTAGGGTCTTTCAAATTATCCTCCCAAGGAAGATGGCCACTAAGCCACTGAATCATGCAATAGCCAAGGATTTCCAAATCACCACGTCTTGACGGGGCTATGAATACAAAAGAAGCAGGTTAAGCACCAAAATCACTTTGAGGGATAGTTTCAAATATATATAAACCAATAAGGTAAAACAGTCAATCTTACAGTCTTGCTTTTCATCAAAACTTATCACTGCATTTAATAAAAGTACTGAATAAATACTGGGCAATAGGAAAGAAATAATTTATGTCCAACTAAGAACTTACTTTAAAATCCAAATAGACAAACTCCAGAGTTTCACACTGAGACTACTGGTCTAGGAAATAAATTATAAAGCAGACACACATTTAATACTATCCTTGGAAAGCTCGAAGACACTAAAATGCTATAAGCTACGGAGAGGCCCAGAGAACTGGGGGTTTCAGCTCCTCCACAGTGCTGGGCACAGAAAAGCAAAATTCCTGCTAAAGGAACAGGCTGACTTCAGAGGTGACAAAGTCAGTTTGCCTGCTACAAAACTGTGGCTGCATAAGAAGCTTACAGACTTTTAGGTGGAAAAAAAAATCCCCACATTCAACTAAGCTAAAAAGAACCAAAAGAAATCCTCAGTGAGCTGACCGAACCACCTTCCCTGCTAAAACCAAGGTCAGAAGAAGACCACCAGGGAAAGACCTCGTGGCTCCGTTACACGACTACAGGAGTCCAACCTCCTCCCCCGACCCTTTCCCCACCCTACCTTGCCTCTGCGATTCTTATTTATCTACTTGTTTATCTGTACAAAATTAAGAACGATGCAGGGTTTCAACTGAAATGTTAGCAGCATATTTCTCAGTCAGGTGCCACTGACATACCGACACCATTGTGCGCGTCAATGCTGGTGAATTCAATAGTGCCATCATGACATCTTCTGGGGTCTTCTTTGTATTCTTTATGAATTCCTTCTGGGCAATACCGGTAAGCAAGGCCGTAATCTACCAAGTACACCTATAAATGTCCAAGCACCAAGAAAATCAAAGCCAAAATGATTGCACATATACTCCTTTATGGCCCAGAGACAAAATACTGTCATTCGAAGGTGGATTCATTTGCAAGGCCACCCCCACGGTACCCCAAACAAGTAAGATCCAGTATGCTAACAAAAGCAAATACTTAATCCTGACTTTTTTTTTTTTTAAGATTTATTTATTTATTTTGACAGAGAGAGAGAGAGAGAGAGAGAGAGAGAGCACACATGCACGTGAGTGTGCAGGCGGGAAGGGGCAGAGGGAGAGTCTCAAGCAGACTCCGTGCTGAGTGCAGAGCCCATTGCAGGGCTTGATCTCAGGGCCCTGAGATCATGACCTGAGCCAAAACCAAGAGTCAGACACCTTACCGACTTTGCCACCCAGGCACGCCAATTCTGAAAGACCTTTTATTTCAAGAAAAATGTGAATGCTCATGTCACTATAGTCCAGATAATATCACCTGCCTCTATACACTTTAGGTAAGTGTGTTATACTTGTAATTAATCCTGTCTCCTCAACTTGAGCAAAGACTATAAATCGTATACTTTTTCTTGCAGAGTCCAAAAGAGAATTAAGCACAGGGGAAACCATCGATACTTGTTGCCATACAACTGCCCCACACCAAGTATAAGACTACCTACTTAGATGACACATGATAATTAATTATTTTCTATTCCTCTGCTCCTCCACTTCTGAAATAATCAATTTATCAGTTCATTTCATAAAATTATTTCCGATAATTAACAATAATGATCTGAAGAATCTTTAGATAAGGCTCTTATCTCCATTTAAATATATATTAAAGTCAAGTTTCATAATTAAAACTAAATTTTAATATTACAAAGCATATATCTGTGGGCATGTACTTGTGGGTCTGATAAGCATACAAAGCCAGTAAATTTGGCTTTCTTCTATTCCATAGCCACATATCACATCTCTGATTCTGGGTAACTGTCTCACAAATGTATGCATGTGATCACAAGAGGAAACTGAAGTAAAAATATGGGGATGGATCTAGCACACACATCTAACACTAGAAAAATAATCCCATCCAAAGCATATGCCCGAAGGATAACAGAGCTGCAAAAATATTTTCCTATAAACAAAAGGCAGCATATTTTAGCTAACTGCAAACTGAACTAAACTGTATTTTTATTTATTGCATTGTACAAGTCCAGTTCACTTCAATTAATGGAATCCTTACGGTCCAGGTTCTCAGCTATGTTCTGTTTGTTTGCTTGCTTGCTTTTAACCTTTTTAAAAACCTCTAACACAAGACATCTGGGAGTCCTGGGGTTGCCTGTAAGATGTCCCCGCGAGCATGCTCCAGTACAGGGGCTTTGCTCTGTTGTACACGGAGATCCCTGACTGCCACCAGGACGGAGACGGGGGGTGGGGGCAATACCTGAGACAGCAGAAAACAGAGGGAAGGTGAAGGGAAAGGGAAAACGAAGCAAGAGAAAGCTAAAGATTGGTTTGGGAAAAAAATAAAATGGAGTGTCAACATAAACACACCTAAAATATTTGGATAGCCCTTTCTTATACACCATCAATACGATGCAAGAACATCCATGGGACAGATTCCACACAGTGGCCTGACCAGGAGTGCCAACCAAACCTACTTTAACCAAAACTGTGGAAACAGCTTCAAGAAAATTGCATAAACCCCTCCACTCCAACTAAACTGAGCCAAATAAAGGTAAAATACCATTAGCTTTTCTCTTTTCCTTAAAAAGTAAAAATTACAAAGTGAATGCAATAAACTAAAAAAAAGTGCACATCTGAATTCTAAACACTAAGGGCATACAAATTTAGACAGCTAAGATATTTCTGTAAACCAATTGATTTGAATAATCAACATGTTAAAGACCAAATTTTCCAAGTAACAGAACACTTACATTTGATGGATTTCCTGAACAAAGGAAGTAAAAAAATGACAAAGCAGACAAGCAAACATAATTCATCGGTGCACTATATAATTTTAAGCTTCCACCCCCAAATAGCTGTTTGAAATTCATTTTGTATCACAAGTACTTCTTCTGAATATTATTTAGGGCAAAATAGCCAACTTGATAAAGTGCCAACAAATCGCATCAAAAATGTAGAATGTTAACTAGATAAAAGTGTCAAGAAGAAATATTATTATTACCATATCTACTCCAAAAAGTAAAACTTCTGCACAGGTTCAAAAGTTCAAAGCAACCATATTTGTTTTCAAACAACAGCTTTTAAGTAGTAGAAATTAAAGTTAATAAAGCTACCTGGTCAGGATTCTTGTAGCTCAAAAGAAGATTTGAGGCCTTGATATCTCCATGTACATACTCATGCTCGTGAATATATTCCAGAATATCCAGCTATGAAAGCATCATATAGAATAAATTAATGCAGTACCTAACACCAGCCAGCAGAGGACCGAGCTTCAACACAACTCGCCTTTACTGGATTAAAACAAGAGGAATGTAGCTCACATACAATTCTCAAGCTTAGCTGCAAGACAGTTTTCCGAGAAAACCTTCTGGCATTTGCTTCATATATTTTCTGAAGGTCACTCCCAAAGCGATCCATTATCATAAACCTGTAACTAAAGACAAACAAGAAAAGTCAATGAACAAAACAGAACTCTGGAAAACCTACTTTGCAGTGACTACTCTCCCTTCACAGTAATTTTTTTCAAGGCCATGTTTAGTGAGAAAGCAGAATGAAAGGGGAAGAAAGGAGAAAGAAGGAAAGAAAGAAAAACATCTGAAACCCTTTCTTCCAACTACAAATCTCAAGAGTTGGGAGTGCTTCCCTGTGCTGCCCGGAGGGCATCCTCCTGGTGGCAGCTAGGTGGTTTCCTGAGACACTACTCAAGGTGAGCTAATCAGCCCGCAGACAGATGCTCGCAATTCGTTCACAGGAAAGAGGAGACCATCCATGTATGACGAGTATCACGGATTTTCCTCACATCAAAGTTAATTTATATTTCTGGATATTAGCTTGTTGTCTGTGACTGTTTTTCTCTACTTTCAGGGCACATTTTAGCAGTATTAACATTTTATTAAAATCGAGACTATCAACAGATGCTGTAACAATAGCTAAATCCAATAAAATTGTTTAGGTATAAAAGGGCTGTATGTTAAATACTCAAAGGACAAAAGCTAGGGAAGAACAAATATCCTGGAGAAACGTGCAGATTTTTGGTTTTGCCACACACCGACTAGGCCATCTTGGCCGAGTCACATTACTTCTGTGAGACCTAATTCCCACAGATACGGAACGACAGCGTGGGGCCTCATGCGTGTTGAGGTCTTTTATGGCACTCAAATTCCAACACTTGACAACCGTAAGTGACATTTCTGTGTGTGCCCAAAAAGCAACACCTCACTCCAGTAACAGTTCACCGTATGCTCTGAGGATCACTTTTATCTTTATCAAGTTTTCCAGATTCTGACTCGTCTGGTTAAATCACTCCATAAATCAGTCAAAACCAAGACCACACTCACAATGTACCTTCAAATGGGGATAAGATTAGGGATGATGATCGTAACAACAGCAAGCACGGACTAAAGCCTTGGTATGAACACGGCATTTTTCTGAGTACTTCAGATGTGCTAGTGTGTGTCAACCTCACATCACCCTCGTGAGGTAGGGGCTCCTATTCGCCTCATTTTACAGCAGAAGAAAACCGATGACTGGTAATTTGTCCTGTAGGAAGTGGTGGCGCCATGCTTTTTCAACTCTACACTAAACATATCCAAACAAATAAACATCAGTGGAACACAAAAATCCCCTTATTTTTATCTGAGAAGCCTACAACACATACCATATGACACGTTCAACAGGAAAGGAAAGCTAACATTAAAAGAAAACATGCCAAATTAAAAAAAAAAATGAGGATTCTATCCAGTTTTGAATTGGAAGAGAATGAAAGATCAACTTGTCTAAACATCTTTTAATGAATAAATTAATTAAGGTCTATAGAGGTAAAGTGATTTGTCCAAAGTCATGCAGTTAGTGAGAGGCAAAATGCATTCATTCGTATAAGATTCTCCAGTACACTGCGATCTCTATCATCATAAAGAAGGAACAATAATTCTGACTTCCTGATTTCCTTTGTACAACAGGTTTTAAAAGGTTGGGGGATGAGAACAGGACACACGCACACATTTGTTTTTACAATAAGTGATGTAATTAGTATAAAATAATACAGGGGTAACAAAAATACAACCTCTGCTAAGAGTCTAAAAGAGGGCTAAAACACAACTGTTTAATTCAACATGAGCTCTATTAATACATCACACTGAGTACATCTTTGTTTTCATTCATAGACCACTCCACCAGTACTGTAAATCATCCCCTAATCACCTGTTTCGAATTATACACATCAACTGATTTTCCATCATTTGCGTCTTATCATTTGCATTTATCCAAGTCTCCAGGAAAGAACACATTGATGGTTTCCATTACTAGCCTCAGGCTCCTTCCCCCTTCCACATGCACACCCTATTCCTTGAGAAAGAGCAATACCAAGTGCCACAAGGCAGGCCAGAGACCTACCCTGCCCCTGCATTTGCAATACTCTCCCGCCTAAGACACTATCCTGTTCTCCAGTGGTTTTCTAAATCAGTAGTTCTGAACATTTAAGGGATAAAGACCCCTTTGAGAGTAAAAGCTAAAGTAAAAGCTAACACAGTATTTTACATATATTCTAACAGCTTTACGTTTCATCCCCCTTATTAAGTGGGTAGCTGTTCTTCAATTTCACAGATGAGGAAATTGAGGCCAAAAGGAGTAACTTACCCAGTCACATACATTTTAAGGAGCAAAACACAGATTTGAAACCGAACAGTCTGGCCCTAGAATCCCTGCTCTATATGTAATTATTCCTTGCTCTATACTACTTCTCCAGAAATTTTCATAAAAACTATAGAGACTGTCCCAGCAAAACCATATGTAACAAAAAAATGCTATCATTTCAGAAGTTCGCCATATTCCCTAGGAGGTACACAGATCCCAGAATAAGAACTTCCAAGAAAACAAGAGCACTGGCTGCCCACCCCACAACCACCTCTCCTCTCCATCCTTTCCAACAGAGCACCAACTGGGTTCAAGCATTCCATCTTCTTCCACACGGCCACATGCTCCACCATGCCAATCGCTGTGCTCGCTCGGCCCTTGCCGGTGACTGGTTTAAGCATGAGCACTGATAAAACCCGGACCAAGAAACATGAGAGGAAGGGAGCTTCCTTTGCCAGGAAAGTGAAACACAGAACAAGCAATACCTCCTACTGCTGTGGGCTGTGTCTGCATGTGATGCCTAGAAATGGGGCAGCCACCTTGAGGCCACACAATGGAGAATGAATACAGCACAAAGCCAAGAGGAAGAGGGGAAAAGGGCAAGATAAAGGAACCTGGGTCCCTGACGATCACTTCAGAGAGCGGAGTCAAAGTTTTCCTTCACTTGCAGCTGAAAGCACCCTAACCAATGTACCCCCAGGACTGAACTAAATCTACTTCTCGGACAGCTGCCAGCCTTACTCCAGGAAGTTCCATTCATTCATTCAAACATTTTTAAAATGTCAATCATGCACCAAAGTATGGTAGGTTTTCTCCAACTCAGCGGTGCCAACAAGGTTTTCTCTCCAATCTCAGAACTCCTGAGACACGAACGAAGCAGAGTCTTCGCACAGTTTAGTAGCACTTCGTGGTTATAACTGTCTCATACTTGTTTGTGTTTTCTCACCAGCTAGACTGAAATGTCATAAAGAGGAGGACGCTGCCACGGGAAGATCACGTATCTAATATGAAACACCAAACTGCAGCCTGAAGGGCTCCCTTTCCCATAAACGACATGGAGTTTTTGTTTGCTTGCTTGCTTATTTATAAGAGGAAAAAATGCAGGGTGCATTTGCTTTGTTCCTACTCATCAGCTGGGCTCAAGTCAGTTGCTAGTGTTCTGCACAAGTCCTCCAGACTAGGGATAATGTCCTGTTCATCTCTGTTAAGTGCATGCCCTGCAGCCCAGATGGAGGCCTGGCAGAATTGCAGGTGCTCAGTAAACAATGGACAGTGAATGCTCAAAACAGGGAGAAGAAACATAAAACATGCAAATTTTTACCTTTTTCCATTTTTATCATGTAGGCCAGAGCCCCAGTACTTAGGAACGCCCAGGTACTTCAGTTTATGGGTGCGAATCCACTTCTGAACTACAAGTTAAAACACACAGGCCTGTGATTCCACTTTTGTTTTACATGATTTTTTAAATCATTAAGAGCAGAATGTACTTAATACATGCAATAAGATTTCATCTTTTTTCATAAGAAGTGAATACATTAAATAATAACAAGTATCTTGCAATCAAAGCATTTTTATTAACTCACAAAATTTTATCCTGCTCTAAACATTGTCTTTAAAATGAAAAATCTGTGAAAGGCATTTAAAAAAAGAAAATCCAACCACAGTATGCCAGTTGCTGTTACTAGCTCTAATATAAATGGTTACTCACTTCTCCAGAAAGACTTTTTACCCAATCTAGAAGTTGTTTACCTCATTTCTAAAGGTCATCAACCAGGAAATAAAGCTGGGGGTGGGAGGGGAGGCTTGAAGACGTCTAGCTCTCTTCCCTGCAGGCTGTTCTGATTCATCAATTACAGCATCCCCCTCTGCCCAGGTTATGTTCTCCAGAGTTTAGAAAAAATTCTCAAAAAGACTGAGAGTCCCATACATGAATTAGGATTACTTCTGAATTTTTAACAATATTTACTAAATCCTATATCCTCTACTAACTTTATTCTATATATCAATATTAGTGAAATCTTATATCAAACCCAAGAAGAGATCAGAATTCTTTCATACAAATCTGATTAAAATGAAATTTACTTATGAAGTAAAAAACAAAAAGCATGGTAATATCAGATCCAGTGCTCTAGTCTTGTCTTCACACAACAAGTGGCAGTCACTTTAAGAGTGTAGACGTAAGTGTGCCTTATTCCTTACTTTGCTCTGGTTTGGCAGCTCGCTGGTAGAACTTCAGTTCAGTAAAGAGAGGTCCATTGTCACTGGGCTCCTTAAAACATAAGAGGTAATTGGCGCTAGCAGTCGTTAACATTATGGAGTCATTTTTAATGAAACTTCAAAAAGCACTGATGTCAAAAAACATCAGTGTTTCTTTCCAATGTGATTGTGATAACTTAAGTTTGTAACTATGTTTAAGGCACACCCTCTTTCAAAATGTTTTAGATATTCTCAGAGGAGTCCATGAATCTTATATTTTTGTCAAGGTCCACTTCTGTAAGTGATAAAATGTTCAAACTCAGATATACAGCTCCATCTTCGCAGAAGTTTAAGAAAAATATTTAAACTCATTTTCATCTTTGTTAAGCTTTCTCTTAAGCAATAACTGGCAACCATGTGAACTGTTTCACCAAGAGGCTATCAGAATTTTATTTCTGAGATCTAATAAAATTCCAATACCCAACTTAACCAATTAGTGGCAAAATCCAACTCTTTTCCCTGTTTCTTAGTACACTTGTATCTAGTCGATCAGGACTGGCAGAAACCAACCTTGTCACAAAGAGAATTTTCTGGAACTCCACAGTGAGCAAGCACTGTCCACTTAGTTACATCCCTTCCTTGCTGGCACTGATTCCCGCCTTTTTCAAACTAAGGAGCCCCACAATTTACTTCCCACGTGATAATTCAAAGTCAAGAGGAAACCAGGGCTCGGTAATAATTGTTTTCCACCAACTTTACTGGACTACATTCATTTTACATTTTAAGGGATAGTAACAGTTAAAATGATTGTAAAGAGTTATGTATGCACAAAAAGGCACGGACAAACGAGAAATATCAGCCTGTTGGGAGCTTGCCTTGTTAAATAGACATGGAAGGGTGAAAAAGATCTTACAATTTTGTGGACTTTTTAAATAGTAAGTTGTGTCTGAATCAAAAGTGGTTGTATGTCATGTTTGATCATTTCTGTTGGTATTATCTTATTTATTGAGAACCTGAGAAAAATTCTGAAAAGCAGTGAAAACTTCAAATAAGGAAGCTAACATTTCCAAACTAATTCTAGGGTTGCTTTTCCTTTACGAAATACGGGAAGAAAGTCATTTTGGACAGAACATCTGTGTAGCTGGAGTTCCCAGGTCAGCAGAGCATTATAAGAAATGACAATGAGGCCCACCAGCTTTAGGAATCCCTAGTTAAAGCACGTAGAGGAAGACTGGTCGGCCAATCTGCAAAGAGTCAGGCAGCACCTAGTTAAGAACGAGTACTCAACAACAAACAGGCAACATATACAACTAACACGCGGATCAGAACCTGGAAATAAACTTGCCTTGTTCCAGGTAAGTATACTTGTCTTAAGTATACAGAGTGGTACACAGGGCTTGGCATCTCATCACCTCTTAAGAAGTAGAAACTAACCAACTATATAAGGTATGAGTCCAAATCCCTAACTTTTGGACTCAGTACCTCAAGTTTCACCATAACCTGTGGCTCTTTTCTTGGCATCAGTGCTCTCTGGATAGACACCTGTACATGTTCAGAGCCCACAGCCAGGCCTTCAGCAGAAGCAGCAGTCTCCATGAAAGAAATGAAAGAAGTAGTGGAAATTCACGAGAAGACATTTTGGTGAAGTTACTCTCCAAAGGCTAACTTTTAGAATAGCTTATTAATATAATTCAAGTTTGAAAGGGGTTTTCCTAAGACAAAACCTGGCTTATTACCATCATATAAAATTCTGATTCATTCCATTTCGACCTATGTCATATCAACTTTAATTTCCAAGCTTCCCTTCAGGCAATAATTTATTAAACTTATAATAATAAGAATCAACCTATATAAATCAAACTATTATAATGAAAGCCCCACCACAATGAAGGCTCTTTGAGCTCATTTCATACTTTTTTCTAATCCAATAAGGTTCCATTATAACAAAATAAAGGAGCTACTTCCTTGGCATTGCACTCTGGCCAAAGCTCACTATTTCTGTGGAAGAAAATACCTTAACTCATAACTAAAATTTTATTAACATATTTCAAATCTAAAATACTTTGCCAACTCTATAATAGCCAAGATTTAGAAAAGAAATTGGGACTGACATTTTAACTAGAATATCACTAAACGTTTCTTTAAGACTTCTAAGTGTCAAAATGAAGATGACAACAGAAAAAAAATTAAAATGTGATATATTTCAATGGCACCCTCTAAAAGCAACTGGCTGCCATTTAAAAATGAAGCTGTATAAAGTTTCCCCTTCCTACCAAAAAATTATGATATATGAATTAAAAATTCAGGTCACTTCTTATAAAGTCTGTGAGAGAAATTAAACATCAGTCTGCAAACTTCTTGCCAGGGAACTTGAAAATACAGACTTTATGTCCATTCACACTGTAAAGTGACCACGAAATAAGGAACTGTTAGGCTACAAGACCCAAAAGCCCGCCCTCCCCCCAGTTCTGCTCTGAGCTCACTGACATGACTGCAAAGGGGAAGTGTAACTGAAAACTAATTTGTTATCAAGGCTGTTAACAAGAAAACACAAAAGAGTATTTTTTTCTCCTTCCATTATCCAACTTATTACCAATTTCCCACTTCTCACTGCACATCATCTTTCCTGAGATAAAACAGATAGGGTATCTCAGTTATCTAAAGGCAGAGAATACAAGTTTACCATCTCTGGTGCCCCCAGCACCACGGCTCCAAGGCTGCTCCCCTAAGTCAATAAGGAATTAAGGCCCTAACCAAAACCAGAACAGTCATTTGGTAGGAGAGAGAAAATATTCAGTATATACCTAAACATCTAACTTGAATATGACTGTCTTAACTTCATTTCAAGACCAAATGTAAGAAATGCGTGGGTTAACTATCCGAAGCTCTTTCCTAGAGCAGGGATGCATATTAGCAGCAACCACATTTTTTGACAAATCTTCCACACTGAGGTGGGAAGCCCTACCAGAAGCACAGGGAACCTGCTACCTCACTGAATGAAAGGATCCCCAAAAGTACACATGAGCATGCATGATTCCACTGAAAATAATGAAGGTGCTCTGTGCACCAGACTCTACCAGTGGTTCTCAACCTTGAGGTACAAAAGAATCCCCTGGGGAGCTTTACTAAAAATACCAATAACCAGGCTCTGCACTCAAGAGATTCTGATTATACCGCACAACTGGAATGGAGAACCACTGTTTGATTTGATATGCCACTGCATTAATAAGTCTAATTTCACATTAAAAATCAACTTGCCTTTGATTTTTTTTTTTAAGATTCATTTATTTATTTATTTTAGAGAGAGAAAGAGAGAGAGAGAGAGAGGGCAGGTACACAGAGAGAGAGGGAGAAGCAGACTCCCAGCTGAACAGGGAGGCCGATGCGGGCTCAATCCCAGGACCCCAAGATCATGACCCAAGCTGAAGGTAGACGCTTAACCGACTGAGCCACCCAGCCTTTGATTATTTCTTAAATAACATTTGCTAAAGTGATTTTTCTCCAAAGATAATATATGTGCTTATTTTAGAAAATTTGGAAATATTTTGACATATTTTCTTCACATTTACAGCTGTTTTTATAAAATGACCTCCATACTACACGTAGTTTTGTATCATGCTTTTAGTAATTACTTATGAAATTTCCCCAAAGAGTAGTACCTGTTCTTTAAAAACATGATTTTTAATAGACCCTAATGTTTTAAATGGCAAATGTTCATAAACATTTGATTTTCATACTGGAAAGATCTGATACTCATTTTACAGGCTTGTGTTTGGTGAACCATTTCCACCTTTAATATTATAAAGCTCTGAGAGCAAAAGACTTACAGAATAAGTAGTAGACAAGGCTACGTCACAGCACGTCACAAGTGAAGGCAAATGATGCTACTTGAAAAGACACAGACCAGAGATCAAAGTGGGTGGCCCCAAGAAATCAAAAGGTGGCGGGAAATTATGGCTACAAAGTTTTCAGGAGAATAAAACAGGCATTTAAAAACGTGATAAAGAAAACAAGTTTACAACGAGGTCCTTAGCATTAAACAACTTGAAATCCAGCTAAGGAGAAAAACACATACAAAATTAAAAGCAACTGTGGCGTGGGAAGGATATTAGCATCTGAAATGGTAAAATAAATGTAAGCAGAATGAATGCTACTAGAGTTTCAAGGAATTCAGAGAGGATAAGGATCTGGGAAGGAACCAGCAATAGCAGCTACTGGGCTCTCCCTGAGAGAGGAAAAGCAAAGTCAGTAACACTGATTTGTTTATGGCATTCTTCCAGGATCACAAACTACCACACTGAAAATGTTGCTAAGATATTAAATGCAAAAGAGAAATCAACTGACTATTTATCATTGTCCTAATGACAAAGAGAAGGAGTAATACAGGCCAATGGAAAAAGAACTAAATTAGGGGACAGGAGAGATGCAGAGCACTAAACTAGGTTTGATAACAAAAGGCTTTAAAATTAGAAATAAAGAGTAATTTACTACCTTATTAAGCAGTTAGGAAATGCTTGTTCCTACTCATTTTTTTTCGTAACTCTGTAAGTAAAACAGGTAGTACAAGTGAGGTTACATTAAATAACAACTAAAATACTTAGAATGACCCATAATAAAGAAGAGCATCTTCATTCTAAACTAAATCATTCTAAACTAAACCACGGTTAGAAAAATCTGAGGCTATCCAGAAGAAAGACATGGTGACACATCAGCCCCACCTGTAAGGTGCGGCCCTGGTGCTGTCCCTTCCAACACATGGGGAGGGCAGTGCAGGTTAGCCAACTGCAAGGTAGACACAGCCAACCACATTTTTTGAACCTCAAGACTATGAGAAGTCGTAAGTGGACCTGCTCTCTTCTAACAATGGAAACTTTTTAAAGATCCTAAGAAGAAAGTAGTCTTGCCTGCAGATTTTAATTTTAATCTGTCGTATCAAAGACAAATGCAGATAACATTCTGCGTTTCCATACAAACAACCCAATTTAATAGTAAGAACTTTCCTTCCTCTGATACAGCAGCAAACTGAGTATTTCAAAAGAAATATTAGTCCACAAAGAGAGAAAAAAAATCCAAAACGAAAGGGCTTAAAGAAAAGCAAAATGCCTGGTAGATATGCCCATCAAGGTATCAACTTTACTTACAGGCCTGACAGAGTAACTGGGACCCAATTAGCCGTCTGCTATAAACAAATATAAAAACTGGACAAAACAGATGGAATCCCTCCTTTCAGACATCAGACAAAAGAGGCAGTATAGACTATGATCTTTAAAAATTGGGAAACAAATCAGGGCATGTGGGTGACCAGTCAGGATCTCAGGGTCATGAGATAGGGCCCCGGAGTCAGGCTCTGTGCTCAGCAGGGAGTCTGCTTGAGATTCTCTCCCTCTACCCCTACCTCCCCCTGCTCTCTCTCTCTCACTCTATCTAGTAAATAAATAAATAAAATCTTAAAAAGAAAAGGTGGGGGGACAAACACAATGAGCCCCCAGCCAGACCACTTTCCTCACAGAGGCACCAGGAATAAAAAGGAGGTGATCCAGGATTCTGCAGGGCAAGAAGGAAACCGAGCGCCAATAACCCTGATGCCAAAACTAACCAATGAGAGTGGACATTTTTAAAATTTAGAAATATTAGGAAAAAAATTAAAGACCAATATCCCTCATGAACAAAGATGCAAAAATCCTTAACAAAATACTGGCAAATCAATGTCAGCATTATATATAAAGCATAATACACCATAACTAAGTAGAGTGTATGTTAAGAATAAAAGTTTTACACTCAAATTACCAATCAATATTACTGCCACATTAACAGAATAAAGGAGAAAAATCCTATGATCCATCTCAAAAGGTGCAGAAAAAGCATTCAAAAAACCAAACAGGCAAACGACAAACTGGGAGAAAATATTTACAATGCACACATTGGGAATAGGACTTGCATCCAGAACAACTCTCTTACTACTCAATTGTAAAAAGCAAAACAACCCAGTTATTTCAAACAAACCAACAAAAACTGAGGAGGCACGTCACAAAATACATGAATGGCCAATAAGCACAATTCCTTGGAAAAACTAATCAAAATCAGCCATCAGGTAAAACTCTGAGACACTACTCTACACCCAACCCCGTGGCTGCAAAACAACCCAACCCACCTGACAAGCACACATTCGAGGATCTGGAACAACCCGGACTCTCCTACCTCACTGGTGAATGTGTAAAATGGCACAACCACTTTGGAAATCTGTCTGGTACTTTCTTAAAAATTTAAATATACACCTTCCCTACAAACCAGCAATTCTCCTCCCAGATATTTATCCAAGAGAAATAAAAACCTTGTACAAAAATTTTTATAAAAGCTTTATTCATAAGAGCCAAAAACTCTATCAACAGGAAATGCAAAAAAAAGACTATGTCTATATAATTTTCTGAGCAGTAAGACTGAACGAGTTAATTGATACACCAACAACATGAATGAGTCTATTAAACATTTTGTGGAGCATAAGAAGTCAGAAACAAAATAGTATATACTGTATAATATCATTTATACGACATTCTAGGCAAGAATAATCCACAGCACAAAAAAAAAATTTTTTTTTTTTTTTTTTTTTTTTTTAAGAAAAAAAGAAACTCGGGTAAGTAGTTACCTCCAAGGGTGCAGGATGTAGGGGTCTGACCAGAACACAGTATAAGAAATCTTTCTGGGGTGATAGAAATGTTGTATATTTTGATACAGGTGGGAGCTGTATAGGTATATGCACTTGTCAAAAGTATTCAAATTATTTAATATCTATGGATTTCCTTGTAAAAACTATGCCTGAATAAAAAAGTATTAAAAACAATCACTAAAACAATTCAGGTCCAAAAGAGTTAATTCACAAGGGACCAAATATAATCCTCATTGAAAAGAAAGTGAAATAAAACAAACCAAAACACAAAACTTCAGGATAATTCTGATTTCTGTAGCCTTTAGAAAAAAAGGAGGGGTGGGGAACTTATGTAATTTGCCCAAATAACAGACCCTGTTATCTCTTCTATTATATAACAAAAACATGTTATTCACACAGAGTAAAGAACTTTGAGAGAGGAGTTAGAAATGTAACTTTTTAAGCAGAAAAATGCATAATATATTCTTAACAAAAAAGAGTAGTTAAAATGCCTTTTAGTGCACCAGTGTGTAAGTTGACCTGACGATTCAAAGTATGCTTATATCAGACAGGATGCTGTCAATCTTTACTCATTACAAACTAATTTCAACATTAGTTTAGCAAAAAGAAGGTTCAAAGTGATCACAATTAAATAAATAATTTACTAAAATGGATGGGGAAGGGAAAACTGGAAATAAAATGAAAAAAATTGACCAAGTGGAAGTTCAGAAGCAAATGCAAGATAAAATACAATAAAATTTCATTAAACTAGTATAGTCTTCTGGGATATAAATAAAAAAGTAGCTCACCTATTGTAAATACAGCTGAAATAAGAAGAATGAGCTGAGTATTTTTATTCTACATTTGTACACCTCCATACTTTCATTCATTTTTTCCCCCAAACACCAGGATCACTCTAATTTAAAAGAGAGGAAATGGACTTTTTGAACTAAATTACTTAAAACTATAAAGATACTTTTGTGTCTTATTAAACATTTATCAAACATTGTTAAAAATGTAGTACCTTATGGTTTCATTAATTCTAGTTGTCAAAGAGGATGTCTTACAAAATAAATACTACACCCATTCAACAAAAAAGAAAATCAGCTAAAATATTTTCTTACCACTTTTACAACACAGGGTGCATCGCTTCCCACCGATTTTGAAGAGTTCACATCAGCTGTTTGAAAAAGAGATATATGTAGTATCAGAACAAGAAGTAGCATTATTTTAATTAGCCTGTTACTAACACTTTGTTAATATTTAGGTCTGTATATCTATAACTCCTTGAAAGAATAAATTTCAGTTCCCAAATATGTGTCTCAGGATATCAATACAGTATATTTCATCAATTTGAAGACTTTTTTTTTCATGATTTAACATATCTGAAATTGGAAGGCATTTTATAATTGCTGGTATCTTCAATAGGATCATCATAAGTATGGAAAACTCTGAGTTAAAGATTTCTTTAATTCAAAAGTACTCATGGCCTTTGATATGCTAATGTGAGTTGTGAATTCCCAAGAGGATGGTAACTGATGACATTTCCTAAATTTCACAAACCAGGGAACCTTTCTAAGAAGGGGCAAAAAAAAAAAAGTAAGAGGGAGCTAAAGTTCCAAAAAACACTAATTTGGGGGGAAAAAGAATTCATCTGTATCAATAGTTCAGGCTGTTGGCGCTAGAACTTTGAACTGCCATCCATAATAATCGTCATGTGGCTGTCATTGTATTTCACGCAAATAAAGCACAGGTGCCCTGGAACACTGTGTCAGGAATATAAGGCTGCCCACATTCATGAAACAAATATTTTTACCAAGTACCTACGATATGCCAGTTTCTAGGAAACTGATTTAGTAATGAACAGGAAGAAATAATTGCTATGCTGCTCTTATGAAGCCAACAGTGGTAGGACACAGACAACAATTAAATATAAAGTATGCTTGATGGTGTAAGTGTTACAGGGAGAAAACGAACCGGGAAAGGAAGGCAGGTGTGTTGCAAGCTCCTAAGAGAAACCTCACTGACAGTGTGTCCCTGGAGCTGTGGTCTGAAGGCAGTGAGGGAGTAAGTCATGTAAATATCTGGGAAGAACATTCCAGGCAAACCAGCACAAAGGCCCTGACATGGAAGCCTCTGTCAGTCTGAGGAAAGCAAGAAGGCCAAAGTAGCTGGAGAAAAGTGAGGTGGAAAGTAAGAAGGGACAGATCAGAAAAGCAGCAGGGACCAAACACCAGCATGACAGGTGACGTAAAGCTGTCACTATGACTGAACTGGAGAGCCACTGGAAGGTTCTAAGAAGAGGACTGGCAAAATCAGACTTGATTTTTTAAGAATTCTTCAGGCTCCTTAGTGAAGAATGGAGTGCAGAGGGCAAGGGCAGAAGCAGGGAGGTTTGCCAGGCTATGACGAGACATGGTAGCAGACAAGGTGGTGATAAGTGGTCACACTGTGGACATATGTTCAAAGAAGAGCCAAAAGGAGATGCTGATAAACTGGATATGGAGGGCAAGCAGGGAAAAGGAGGTAAGGAGGCCTCCAGGTTTTCAGCCTGAGCAACTGGAAAGAGGAAGTTGCTACTTACTAAGATGGAGGAAGCTGCAGAAAGAGCTGGTGCTTTAGGGAGCCTTATGTCTGAGATGCTTAGTAAACATTCAAGTTCACATGTTAAGCAGGCAGTTGATATACAAGTCTTGAGTTCAGAAGAATGGTCCAAGTTGGAGAAATAAACATAAGAGTCACCTACATCAAAACACTACTCATTTAAAGCCAAGACCCTAGGGCATGAGTGTAGTGGAGAAAAGAAGAAACCCTAGGCCTGAGCCCCAAGGCATTCTCCCGTTAGACGGTGAAAAGACGAAGAAGGACCGGCAAAGGAAAACAAGAAACCACCAATCAGCTGGGAATGGCAGGATTTTGAAGAAACCGCAGCTACAGTACTTCAGAGTGAAGAAGGAACACGAGTCACAAAAACAGCTCCCATAGGCAGATGGAAAGGTGTGAGCTCCAAGACACATCACTAAGATGCTGATTAGTAATAAAGCAAGATTAGATCTTTTTAAATAAGCACTTAATGTACAAAATATTAAAATAAGGATAGTATCCCAATAATACAACACAGTTCAAATGAGGAAAGGAGGAAAAGGAAGCTCAATAATTCAAACATTATGTGCTACAAAATATGCCAGGTACTAGGAACCCAGTAAGAGATGCCCAGTTGCCGAGAAAGAAAAGTAATTTCAATACAGCATGGAACGTACTGTGAAAGGGTTAACACAAAGGGCCTATAAACAGATAGTACCTGCCCTAACCTCAGCTTGGGAAAAATGAAACAAGAGAAGCATCACATATGGAGATCAAGAGGCAAAGGGCAGCAGGATGGCTGAAGCACAGATCCTGAGGAAATAAGACCGATGAAGATTAAAGCTACATGGGGACCAGACCAGAGGGAGGGTCTCGATGCCATTCTCCTATGACTGGCACTTTTATCCCCAGCCCGGGGGGAGCCACTCTGGAAATTTAACTAGGCTAGATCACTCAAGCCACAGCGTGAACAGTGGGATGCAAGGGGGCAAGACCGAACAGAGAAGAATCACTGCCGCAGTGAGGATCCCAACAAGACCTGAAAATGACCAGCGCCAAGATGGGGTCGGCAAAGAGGAAGAGAAAGCGCAGAGTTAAAGCCGCTGGACTAGACGAAGAAGTACTAGGGCGGCTGGTGAAGGAAGACTTGAGAATGCCTTCCGGTGTCTGGCTCTCCTGGTCACGAGAGAGCCGGCAGGCATCCACGGAGAGCGCACTGTAGGCCCCTGGCCGTGGGCCCGCACTCAGGAGATCAAGTCCCAGGCTAAAGGTAAGAGATGGGGAAGTGGACAGTAAAAAGACATCAAGGGCAGACATGAAATCGATGAGAGCACTCAGAGAAAACACATGGAAGGAAAAGTGCGCCAAGGAAGAAAAGTTGGAGAACACAGAAGTCGCTCTGAGGATGACCATGGACCTCCAGAAGCAGCGGGAAAGCAAGAGGGAATGTGTTCCCGTGAAAGACATGGGAGCAATCTTTCTGAGAAGGAAACATAAACAGTAGCAAATGCTGCAGAAAATAACCAAAGAAAATTCAAAAGCAATCTCTTTAATTCATCAGTAGAAACCGTTGATGATCTTGAATATGGCTGCTTTTGTGTATCAGTGGGCACAGAGAGACAAACTGGAGGCAGCAATACTAAAGCAAATCCATATTGATCAATCCAGCTTTACAAGAGCAAAACTTTATTACAGAAATCTGTCAAATCATTGAATATTAAAAAATAGTACTATTAGATGGCACTTTCTAATGATAAATATAAATACCAATAAAATAGCACAAATGCAATGCGAGTTGCAAATGTTCCAAAGGTTACAAAAGCAAATTAACTAATACAAAATGAAGAACCTACTTGCTTCAAGTTCCCATTCTGAACATGGGATGTCCTAAGTCCACACATTCTGCAGCACAGACAGTTTATAGAATCTACCATCTCTAACCCACAAGGTCAAAACCTATATACCTGGCCAACATAGCCACTAACCTTTCCTGGTTTATGAGGATTTTCACCTTAACAGATAGCCTAGTTTACTAGAACAGGCTTGGCCCTGAACAAACCTAAAGAATCAATACCTGTCTCCCAAAGGCAGGTGCCGGGGACCTAGAGAAATCTACAACATACAGTAGAGCACTGGGCTTCAAGCTGTCTCATGAACACACCCCTAGAGACTGCAGCTAACCCTACACCCCGCTGGTTCTGGAGGAGTTGGGAGTCGGACCCACCTGAGTAAGAGCTCTTGATCTCCATCAGTGGCTCTCACACGTCAGCATGCATCTGAATCACCTGGGAGACTTGTTCAGTTGCTTTGCTGGGCCCTCTCCCTACGTACAGCGTCTGATTCCTAGGCCCAGAGTAGGACCCAAGAATCTCAGAGCTAAGAAGTTTCCACTACTAATGCTGACCTAGTAACTAATATTAGTATCCTGAGTAAGATGTTGCTTGAAAGAAAAAAGAGTTCCTTTACTAAAAATAAAATTTTATAAACCTCATGGCAGAAATTAAATAATTAAGTAAATAACTAAATCAAGATTAGAGGTGGAATAAGGGCCTATGATGGAAAAGTTAGAAAGAAATTTCAAAAGCAAACATGATAGTAGGAAGGGAAAAATGAAGAGGGGGAAATCGGAGGGGGAGATGAACCATGAAAGACTATGGACTCTGAAAAACAAACTGAGGGTTCTAGAGGGGAGGGGGTGGCGGATGGGTTAGCCTGGTGATGGGTATTAAGGAGGGCACATATTGAATGGAGCACTGGGTGTTATACGCAAACAATGAATCATTGAATACTACATAAAAAACTAATGATGTAATGTATGGTGATTAACATAACGTAATAAAATAAAATTTAAAAAAAAAGCAAACCTGAAATATACTATATCACTATTAATACTCTGGGTGAAGCAGTCAGCTTTAGAAACAATCAGGTAAAATATTTTTATATCAACAATTTAGTTAGCCTATAGAACTCAGGGTTCCACATAGGTCCCTCAAAATTTCAGGCTAGGTATCTTAATTAATTGCACATTTAATCAGGCCTAGTATGCAATTTTTAGGTCATTCTCTCAATTCCACTACAATAACTACTAGGGTTATATAGAAAGAAAAAAATCCATACCTGTTATCTGAAAATCTCCAAATTAAACCAAAACAGAGGGAATAAAATCCCAACTGAGTGGAGGTGGGGAAAGAAAGATGGCCATGGCTTTCTCCGGGTCTCAGAAGAGTTAAGATTATACAGAATCTCTTAAAAATCTAAAGGATAATAAAATTAAATCTAAAGGATAATATCACCCTCTCTTTCTACTGTGATTAAATCAACTACTGTTCTTTCCACTCCTGTGTCATTGATGCATCTTTGCCAAATCATACAGTATTAAGTTGAATGTAGATAATTAGGAACATCCTGGAAAAGCTCCTAACTGAGAAACTATTTCGATAAGAAACATGTAAATCTTCGGACTGGTACACTTACCAAGATATATACAACCGAAGCCACCCTGGCCAATGGGCGATCCTAATTTCCACTCCTTCTTCGTCATATCAGTGATTATCTCCCCAGCTGCAAAGTGTTCTGCAAGTCGTCTCTTTCCAGGGCCCTGTCTTCCAGCTTGAGCTGCTTTTACACGAGGCATTTTCACTATAAAATGAAAGAAAGCGACACTCAGAATTCTAATCCTCAAAATGCTGAAAACATTTTCCACTAAGGAAAGCTCTGTGCTACAAAGGTACTTTTCAAATGTGGACAAGGATTTATGACATGACAGGAGATACTTTACACATAGGCCCCGATCCATCCTCACATCTCTGTGAAGATTACATTATCATCCCCATTTTACAGATGAGGAAATGAAGGCTCGGAAAACTTTAGCAAGCTGTCCAAGGCTATGTACCTAGAAAGTGGCAAAGCAACAGAAATCTGCTCTTGAGGACTAACCTGGCTTCTGGCTTCAAAGCCTCAACACCACCGCCCACAATTACAAAAGTCACCACAGTGAAGGAGAGGACCTTTCAAAACAGTGACAAGGGAACAGCGGCTCTTTGGTCATTTGGCTTCACAGACAAGGCCAAGCTGGTGACTCCCAGTGCTCTATGCTTCCCTTCTCACCCCTTGGCAGTGAATCTGGATTCACCTTTCTCACTCACGGCCAAGGTTAACATAACATTCAGAGAAAACAGCGTGTTATGGTAAAAACCGCCCTGGGCTAAACTCAAAAGCCCCAGATCCCAGTGCAGCTATGATACCAGTTAGTCTGGAGACTGTGATCAAGTCACTTCTCTCTGGGCTTTAACTGCCCTGAGATGTAGTGAAAGAACCCCCCCGGGGAGGGGGGGGGCTCAAACTCTCAGTTCTACACTACTGATTGAAAAAGATTTAAAACAAATACTTTCTCGGGTAGTGAGCGCCTGGGTGGCTCAGTCTTAATTAAGCATCTGCCTTCAGCTCAGGTCACGATCCCAAGATCCTGGGATGGAGTCCCTCGGTCAAGGAGCCTGCTTCTCCCTCTGCCTCTGCCCCTTCCCCCATCTCATGCTCTCTCTCTCTCAAATAAATAAATATTTAAAACAAATACTTTCTCAGAGGCTATAGTCTGCAACACTTGAAATGGTTGTTCAGGTGAAAGACAGGTTTGTTACATTTCATAAGGTGGTTTGCTTTGGAGCCTAGATATTCCAAGTACATATACAAAATACTAGAGGGGCATTTTTTTTTTTAGCAAATCTCCAGCCACTATCACACCACATACATAAACTCCATATATGCAAATGCTCTTTATTAACTTATTGGGGATTTTTAAATTTAATTTGTCCTATAGAATACCAATCCCTCTTCATTGTCTAAATCTTCTCTAACAAAACATCTTCAAAATAAATGAATGTGGCTATTATTTCTTCCTATCAAACAATTCTCTAAATGTGTATTTTTAATCATTATAAAATCCTTCTGAATGGAATTTCAGTGTAAACCGTAACAGACCAGACTCAATACACCAGACAAGGTGACTTTTACAGCTATGGTTGTAGACTGAGTGCAAGAAATAACCAAAACCAAAAAACAGGGAAAAAAAAAAAAAAAGAAAGAAAGAAAGAACCAAGGCATAGCACTTCCAAATACTAAAATGGATGCCTTCTAAATTTACCCCACTGTAACAAATCATCAGAGTAATCTCCTATTTGATGATTTCCTTATAGTAGTCAAGACAATTTAAAATGAGTTAAAAAAAAAATTTTCCTCTTTTTGTAACTCAAGATAGTAACCAGACTATCTTTTGTGTTTTACTGGAATTCCTTTCCAAAAGTGACCATATTTCAGATGAAATATGCTAGCTCACCTTCTACTCAATATAAATTGTAGTCAACAAAAAGTGTTTTTCCTCCAAATTAAGTGGTTAGCTTTTACTCTGAGTTTTATTCCTATAGCCTACTTGTAACAATGCATTCTGGAATGACTTTCTTTCCTTCCTAAAAGCAGTCCCACAGAGTCAGCCATCACCGTGAGTCTCCCGAATCCCTGAACAAACCACTGCTTCCAAAGGTTCGCTGCTACTGGAGATGGCGGGACTGGCAGCACACCTGTTTAATCTCCCCAAATTTCCCCATAAAACCAAATAGGACAACTAGAGAGCAGGACTCAAACCCGACAGGCAACATCTACAACAAAACTAAGCAACAGTATTCCCTACATCCACAAACCCCAAAATGGGAGTGGGTGAAGAAGCCTCAGACAGCAAGGTGACCTGCGTGCTACCAGCAGCTGTGAGGGAAGCAGCAGAAGCGAGGGCGGTGTCTCTGAGGAATCTAAGAATCCCCAAGTTACTTCTCAGAAGCACAGAGACAACGTGGGAACAGCAGCCCAAGCTGGGAAGGGCCGTGCATACTCCAGCAGCAGCATCATGTGGGGCTCTGCTGGAGGGGCTGAAGCAGGCTGGCCTCCACAACTCTGCAAGACCAACCAGCCAAAACACTCTCAGGTCAAAACCTCCCCAGGTGGACAAGAAACAGCTGGGAATGGAATCCAAACTGAGCATCACAAAGCTAATACAAAGAAAGGAAAAAGAAGGTTCAAACACAAAAGTGGATCTGTAAGTTAGCCTCCATTGTTTTGGAAAACTATACCAAAACAAAACAAAACAAAAGAGGAGGCTCTAGAAAATGACATAAAGTCAACCTGAACTATACCATCTAGAACTAATTGCACACAGAAGAAAAATAATTGCTTATAAAACTCAGCAACAAAAAAGGATCAAGGCCTAGTCCCGTGCAAATTGAAATTTTTTAAAAAATCCCTGCAGAAAAATACATAAAACATGCTTGCCAAAAAGTTGAGAACTATGCACCAATATTTCAAAACAAGCTTAAAAATCTTTACATAGAAAGATTAACAAGAGATCAGAATTAGAAAAACTCAGAGACCAAGTGATAGAAGGAAATAACTAAAAAGTCACAATCATTTGAGAGATGAAAACTAAGCTAGAAGGAACATCAGACTGAAGACAATTTAAACACAGTGACTTAACAGAAATAGAAAATGAAAAGGAAAAAAATTTAAAAATCAAAAAGGGGGAAAAAGATAAGTATTTCAAGAGAAAATCATAGATTTAGAATGCAGAAAAAGAAAAGCCAGTGAACATACAACAAAGAAACTCAAAGCAAGGGAACAGTATACTAAAAATGCTTTAATCTAAGAAGACTTTCCTAAACTTTAAAAAAAAAAAAAGTGAAATTACAAAATGAAAGGTCACACCTTACACAGTACGTGGAGAAATCAGCCCAGGATAACCCACACTCCGACATCACCTAGTAAAATTACAGAACTCCACGAAAAAGAAAGTATTCTTTGAGCATCCAGGCCAAAAACAGATCTTTTATAAGGAAAATAAATAAGACTGTCATCACTCTGACAGCAACACTTATGTCAGAAAAAAAGGGGAAGTAACGCAGTTAAGACAAAACAAGAACTGAAGATTTTATACTCAGTTAAATTTCAAGTATAAAGACCAGAGTGTTCTCTGCATGGAAAAAGGGAATAAGAATCCACCAGGAACAAGCCTCAGGTATCCAGAACGCCTCAAGAAACATCCGCCAGGAACAAGCCTCAGATATCCAGAACGCCTCAAGAAACATCCACCAGGAACAAGCCTCAGATATCCAGAACGCCTCAAGAAACATCCACCAGGAACAAGCCTCAGGTATCCAGAACGCCTCAAGAAACACCGCTGTAAGAACTGAGGGTGCGCAGGAAGCAGGTACTAATTTGTAGAAGACTCAACAAGGACCCTAAGGAGAAGACACAATATATAATGGGCACAGTCCTGATGAAGGGGATACGGTACAACTGTAAAACACGGGAGAACATACGCAAAAACACCCAGCTCTCCAGGAATCATACTATAAGTGATACTTGGTTTTGTAAACTAAGGTTACTGTACACATAGCTGTGGAATAATGCAAATGAGTAACTATGTGATATTTTAATTCTGCCATCCCCTTGTATCCTTAAAAACCGAGATTCAAATACGAAAGAAAGGGGATACAGATGACAGAAGAGGTTAAAAATGCTTTATTTGAAAATAGTTTTCAGAGGTTATTTCATTTTTTACAAAGTGCACGCATGCGTGCGCACACGCGCACACACACACGCACACACACACACCCCCTTTGCATTTCCTAGGCCTAGCCACAAAAAAGCTTAGAAACAAATAACCAACCCAGTAGTAATGAGTATCTCTAGTATACAAATTGTATTCTTAAAAATACTGTTTCTTGTCAAAGAAACCAGATTCCTTGAAGAGAGGACTGATTCCAGATGTGGAGCCAGAAATGTACAAGACAGACTTGGAACATCTTGTCATTTCCAGGTGTCAAGGAAGCTATCAGAAACTACTAGAGTGATGTCAGATATGTCTAAGGAACCAACTTAGGTGTTCCCACTGACCAAAGATGGGCCAATTTGAGTCAATAAAGATAATAACTGCTATGGATTAAAACACATAAAATGGGTAAATCCAAGAGTTTGTAATAGTTAAGAAAACCTAAGCGGTCACCTCTAGAGAATAATAGGAAACCACTCAATTTTGAAAGCTGCTTTAAAAAAAAAAAGGAAGGAAAAGAATCAAGCATTTATCCTTTCTTTCTTATATGAATTGTACCACTGGGTAACCAAATATTAGATGAAGAGAAATTTCTCCTTATGGAAAAATTTCAGCTAATAAATGAATAAGAATGGTTTTAGGTTAATACCATTTCCACCTCCTAATGAATTAATGGATCTAGACACTGAGCACTGATAGCTACTAACATCAAAATATGAGAGATGTCCAGACATATTATACGCCTCTTGATAAAAGTACATGCCACTACCCATGAAGTAATCTTGCCAAAAAATAAAAATAAAAAATTAAATAGACCCTGAATCTGATCAAGCCTATCGATTCACAGGATATGAAAAGAACAGAAGAACACGACCAACTATAGCAGAGGAATTCAATCAGCAAAGTCCCAAGGGTGAGAAACCCTAGAGTACATATAATCCCATTTTTTCAACAGATAAAGGGCAAAAAAGAAGAGACGGGAGAGAAGAGAACCAGATGCAGAAAGACTTAAAACAACATATCCAAAACAAAAGAAAATCAGGCAAAA